ATTAATTTTAGTATTAATATTATATAAATAAATTTAATTAGACAATTATTAAATTAAATATTATTTTTTTATTTTTTTTGAGACTCTTAAAGCACAAATTAGAAAAACTCTTATCATTATTCACCTAAAAAGAGAGTATAACAACTAATTACCAAACAGCAAAGACAAGGGGGAAGGATTTCTACATTGCAAAGAGACAGATGATGTGGCATGGGTGGAGCCACTCTGCACATTTAGGGAAAATAAAAAAAGAAAAGGAATTGAAAAGTCCCCAAACGTCCCTCCGTTTGCAATTTAACAGTCAATAGACAGTTTGTTAGCCCCAAAATAGACGGAGGGACGACATTAATATGATTTTGAATACTAGAAGAGGACATGTGAAGATAAATAAAAGTAGAGCGAATGTACCAAAAAAAATAAATAAATAAAAGTAGAGCTAGGACATGAGGTGAATCGATAGTATAAGTTGAACCTATTTCAATTGGTATGAATCCCATAAGGCAAAATTTCTGCTTTTCTAAACACATTAGCACGTTTCTACCAAAAAACAAAAGAAAACACATAGGCACGCGCTCACAAGCATATTCTTCAACAAGCGCTGTCGTTTTGTTTCTCCAGCGTCGCGCATCGGGATCCAGAGTCAGCGCGTGGGCAAATGCACATGGACCTATCATCCCAAATTTCCATTATTAAAAAATAAAAGGTACCGCTGTCAGGCCCACGTTGGCAAGAAAATGCAAGCTAAAGCTAACAGTGTCGGGCACACGTTAGCGAGGTGGAGAGCAAAGGGCAAAAGTGTCTGCGCGCACGGTAGCAAGATAAATAAAAAGTTAAAAAACACAAAAGTGTCAGGCTTGCACGTCAGCAAGAACAGAGAAAAACGAAACAATTATTATTATTTTTTATTAATCTGCTGATGTTCGGAAGTAGGGGTGGGTAAAACCGGTTTTTGGTTAAATTGAAACCGGTTTTAAAATAATCAAAATTTTTTTTCTTTAATTTTTAGAATCGAAGCCAAATTAAAATTATCAAAAATCGATCTATTTGATCATCAATAAAATTGATTTCATTTTAATTTTTGATAAATAAATAATAATTATTTATTTTTTAAATAATATATTATATTTTATTATTTTTTATCATATTTATTTTTATTTTAATTTTTAAAAGACTTATTTTTTATTTTTTATTTTTAAAAAATTCAATCAAAATCAAATCAAAATATATTTGATTAATATCAAAATCAAAAAATTAAAAATTAAAAACCATTAAAATCAAATCAAATTCTTTTTTTGATTCAATTTTCAAATAACTTATCGATTTCAAATGCCCAACCCTCGGAAGTGACATTAAAATCAAATTGCATTATCTCTTCAGTATTTGTTTCATATTCAAACCCAAAACATTACCCAATAAAAAACCAAACACCTACCACCGGGAACAATATTACGTCGATGAAAACAGCTTATATTAGCACAGCACAGTCTGTCGCTTTTATTCCTCTTCATCACAGTATCACACAACTAAAATCCGTTTCTCCATCGGATTCTTCTTCTTCTTCTTCTTCATTTCCCAAAAGCAGAATCCTTAAACCCTAGCTGAGAATCTTGGTTTTGCATTCGATTTCGGATCCATGGCGACGGTTTATGGAGCTGCAACTACCACTGTGGTACCCAATGATCCAAAGATTCGAGTGCACAGCTTCATCGGCTTCAAACCTTCGCATTCTCTCGCTTTCGACCAGAATCCTCACGTTTTTCTGGTTCCGAAATCGACTCCATCTGTTATCAGAGCTGTTTCAACATTGAGTTTCTCTTTTTTTTGCTGTAGTCAGATTAGAGCATTGATTTCATTTTAATGTTTTTAGTTCAATTTTGTAGGAAGGGAATACATAATTCTTTTTGGTATTTTTTGTTTCCTAACTATTGAGTATATTGATTCTCTAGGATTGAGTTGAAAGGAAAAGAAATGGGTAACTTTTTTTTTAGCTTAAAAATATCAACTTTCTTAAAATAAGTCAAGAACACCGGTCGTAACAGGTTCTAGTTTTAGGCTCAATTGGAAACCATTTCTTTCTGATTGATAGCTTGTGCAATCCCTTTGCAGCCAGTGAAGCCTGACACTGCAACTGAAACTAAGCGCAGTAAAGTTGAAATAATTAAAGAAGGAAGCAATTACATAAGATACCCTCTTAATGAGAAGCTGTTGACAGATGCTCCCATTATTAATGAGGCTGCCACACAACTTATCAAGTTTCATGGAAGTTATCAACAGTATAACAGGGATGAGCGTGGTGCCAAGTCGTATTCGTTTATGCTTCGGACTAAGAATCCTTGTGGAAAAGTCCAAACAGACTTTACTTGACTATGGATGATCTTGCTGATCAGTTTGGAATTGGGACACTTCGGTTGACTACGAGACATACATTTCAGCTCCATGGTGTTCTGAAGAAGGACCTTACGACGGTGATGAGCAGTATTATTAGGAGCATGGGTTCAACTCTTGGAGCGTGTGGTGATCTCAACAGAAATGTTCTTGCTCCTGCAGCCCCAATTGCAAGAAAAGATTATCTTTTTGCTCAGGAAACAGCAAAAAATATTGCTGCACTTCTAACCCCTCAGTCGGGGTTCTACTATGATATGTGGGTGGATGGGGAGAGAATCATGACAGCAGAACCTCCAGAAGTAGTGAAGGCTCGAAATGATAATAATAATGGAACAAATTTCCCTGATTCACCTGAGCCGATTTATGGAACTCAGTTCCTGCCAAGGAAGTTCAAAATTGCTGTAACTGTTCCAGGAGATAACTCGGTGGATATTCTCACAAATGACATTGGTGTTGTTGTTGTTACTGAAGAGAACGGGGAGCCTCAGGGATTCAACTTATACGTAAGAAAAACATGCAATCTTAATTGTTATCTCTTTGCTCTTTGCATGAGTAGTTTTTTGTCTTACAATCTTCTTTTCTCCAATATTTTATTTTCAGGTTGGTGGTGGTAGGGGAAGGACACATAGGTTGGAGACAACATTTCCCCGTTTGGGAGTACCTCTGGGTTATGTCCCAAAAGAGGACATTTTATATGCCGTTAAAGCCATAGTTGTTACACAACGAGATAATGGGAGAAGAGAAGACCGCAAATATAGTAGGATGAAATATTTGATAAACTCCTGGGGAATAGAAAAGTTTAGAAGTGTAGTTGAGCAATATTATGGAAAGAAATTTGAGCCTTTCCGTGAGTTGCCTGAGTGGGAATTTAAGAGTTACTTGGGATGGCATGAACAGGTTTGTCTTACTAATTAGAGATATGCCACGCAATCTCTCTTTATCTTATGACCTTAACTTCATAAATTGATTCCTGTTAGTAAAGGTGTTCGTAATGTGGTTTGGTTTGATTTTAATATTTTTTAAATCAATTCAATTTAATCGGTTAATAAAATTTTTGAACCAATCCAATCTACTATTATATGATAATCAAATCAATCCAACTTAAATTGAATTGATGTGGTTCGATCGGATTGATCGGTTTTCAATATTATTAAATATATAAGATAATATAAAAATATTTTAACATCAAATAGAAAACATAACCATAAAACACATTAACATGCAAATCAGTAAAAACATAATAAAAAGTACAAATTATAAACAAGTTCTTATACTCTTTTACATTTGTAAAAATTGAAGAGATTTAAAAATTCTTCTTCATTACATCACTAGAGGCACCAAGAACAATAAAAGATGACTTAAAATTTCTAACACAACGTAAATAATTCTTAAAGATTAAAATTAGTTTTTTTTCTTAATGCACTAATAATTTAATCTCATATTTTAAATCTTGTTAAAAGTGAATAAAATTTAATATGAATATCACTAAAATTGATTAGAAGCATTCATAATCAAAATTTAAAATTTTTAAACCAAATATCCAAGAATAGTAGAATATCAAGACTAATTTTATTATATAATTTTAAGACTTTTAGAATGATACTTATTTAAAACTTAGTTAGGAGAATCATAAGATTATTTTAAGAATAAATTAAAAGTTTAGGATTCTAATAGTAAAGGCATAAACCAGTTCTGAAGGGATAGAGTTGCAAGTGAATTAGAAATTTAGAATTAGGGTTAAAGTGTATGATTAAAATTGAAAAATAACTTAGGGAATATGAAGATGTTTTATTTTTATTTTTTAATTAAGTTAGTGGAGTTATTATCTTGTAAAATAAGAAAAAAAAATTTTAAAATACTACAAAAAAATATATTATATTATTTAATTAAGTTATCTTGTAATCGAATTTTATTTTGTAATCAGGCAGTTCGGGCGGTTTAAAAATAAAATTACAAATCAAACCAATTATATCGGTTTTAAAATTTTATAATTCAAACCAACCCAATTTTATATCGGTTTGGATTGGTTTTTGATTGGATTGGATCAGTTTAGGTCGGATAAATCAAATTGGATCGGATATGAACACCCATACTTGTTAGGCTGTTTTCTTTCAAATTGCTCTGCTTGTGTTATTTTCTTCAAGTCTAATGTTTTGCCTTTTCACATAATCCATTTCCTTTGAATCTTTTGGCAGGGAGATGGTGGTTTATATTGTGGGCTTCATGTAGATAATGGCCGAATTGGAGGGAAAATGAAGAAGACACTCAGGGAAGCAATAGAAAAGTATAATCTGAATGTGCGTATCACCCCAAACCAGAACCTTATCCTCTGTGACACTCAGAGAAGTATAATCTCTTTGTTGTCTTTTTGCACAAAATAACATATTAAATAGTAAAAATTTCAAAGTAGAAAGACTAAAATTGAGTTTTTTAAAAGTAGAGGGACCAAAAAATTTTTTTGTCCTTTTTTAACCTTGAAATTTCTATTATCTAATGTGTCACGTATGCAAAAAATAATGGAGGGGCTAAGAAAGGGTCAATAATAAACTTTAAGGACTGAAAAAAGTTTAAGTAGAGGAATTAAAAAGGGCTTTTTGTTAAAATAGATAGATCAAAATGAGATTTTAACTTAAAATATATAATTTGTTTCTAAATAGATACCGACATTTCATAGAATGAATTTTTAATTTTTAAATTAAAATTTTAATTTCTAAACATAAATTAAAACTTTATTTTAAAAAAAATCAAAATCAATACTTTCTAATCTTAAATAAATTTATTAAAAATATTATAATA